AGCGGGGAGGGAGGGGAAAAAATGAGGACCTGATGCCAGGGGCTTAAGTGGAGAGGAAATGTTTTAAGAATGATGAGGGCAATGAATTTACAAATGTGTTTTACACAATTGATGTATGTATGGATTGTGATAAGAGTTGTATGAGCCCCTAATAAAACGATTTAAAAAAAAGTCCTGTTATGTCTGATAGCTGGGCTCCATCTAATTTCTTCACCACACACTGTAGCACCCATGTCTTCAGTGTTTCCTTCATAAGGGCGAGCATTGAGCAGAGCCATGTCATAAGAACTAATTGTTCTTAGATTGGAGCTAGGATTAAGTGTGAGTCCAAAATCCATTCCTCATTCTGTTTTGTTTTTTTTAATCTGTCTCTGGTTCACGTTAGAGACATCCTTGTTAATTTATGGTAGATGATCTTATTGATCATCTTCCTGTAGCATAAGGACCTTCTGTTTATAGTGTCATTGATTAGCCCATGGTCCTAATTTTAAAACACTATCGAGAGTGGGAGATTAAACAAGTGTAAACTCAACTACACATGGCAATACCTAGATTATTGATGTGTACAGAATAAATCCTTACATGACGACACTATTTGCAGAAACTATGAGAGTTGGTGATCAGGCAAAACTCACAATACTGACAATGCCAGCCACTGGCAGATTAAAACATGCCTTAATACAGCAAGTAGGGCATTGAAACAATAAGTAAATGTTAGTCTGCCTACTGACAATTCAATTCTTTTGGTATAGCTGTCTTCTGCTTCTTCACTCACCATGTAATTTCAGGTTTAAGACCTCAGGTTACAGGTGTGTTTGAGATAGGGTCTAGTTCACCTAGTGGGGTTTCCACATTGGGTCCCCAGACATGACTTTTGAGCGTGTTGTGTGCCTAAAAGCCGCAGGATTCAGCAGCCCAGTGTTCTATGGAACATGTGCCATTGAGGTGATTCTGACTCATGGTAACTCAAGCAATGTCCATGAAAATTTTTTTTAGTCACACATTAGGTTTACTGGGTGTTCTGCCACCTTTATTGCTTGTCCTTTCAAATAATTGCCTGTATTATTTTGTAGTTAATTCCAATTATACCCAATCTAAACATAAGGTGCATTTAAACTCTTGAGTCTGGTAACCTAAACTTTTATTTATTTATTTTTTTAATTAATTGATGCCCAGCCTAAGGAATTTTTCCTGAGCGTTGGTGGATTACACAGGGCTGCTACTGGGCAGGTTTGCAGTTCAAAACCACCAACAGCTGCACAGGAGAAAGATGAGACTTTGTGTTCTTGGAAATATTTCCAGTCTTAGAAACCCACAGGGACATTTCTACCCTGTCCTATGGGGTCTCTGTGAGTCAGACTGTGGAGTCAAGAACAGCGAGAGTTAAGTTTAGTCAATTACATAAAGTAGCATATTTACATGATCCTTTCACAGCAGTTCTCACCCTGTGAATCACGATCCCTTTGGGGGTCGAACCACCCTTTCATAGGGGTTGCCCGATTCATAACAGTAGCAAAATGACAGTTATGATGTAGCAACAAAAATAATTTTATGGTTGTTGGTGGTGGGGTCACCACAACATGAGGAACTGTATTAAAAGGTCGTGGCATTAGGAAGGCTGAGAACCTCTGCTTTAGGCCTTTACTGATTGTTCTTTCCAAACATCTTATTTCCCAGATGGCAAGTACAAACTCAGCCATGCCTTGATCTAGTGTGAGTGTTATTGGGCCCTGGTTCAAGAGGACAGACTGAACTTCCGTTGTCAAATGCAGATGATTTAGATGCTTTGAGGTCAGACCCATCTCAGATCATTTTTCACGGGAGTCTAAATCAGTGGTTCTCAACCTTCCTAAGGCCGCGGCCCTTTAATACAGTTCCTCATGTTGTGGTGACCCCAGCCA